ACAGAGCTGCCCAGCTGGCCTCCTCAGCGGGTAGACTGCAGCGGTCTTGAATGGTTGTTGCGGAAACTTGTTATGCAGCAATCAGTAACAGATACAGTGTGTCTTTAGGGAAAGCAGGTGATGACTCTGGACTCCAGATATGGCTTCTGTGAGTGGAGGTGGACTTGTTTATGACACTTGGGCATGGAAGTATGAAACATTCCCGACTCAGATGCTTAAGGACTTCTGGGGGCCCAGGAGCCTTACTCTAATGAGTGTCACAGAAAAGTTGATCATGTTTGGAAAATTTCCAGACCAGTTGATTCTCAGGAGTCCCCATGACACTAATCATAATACCTCAGTGAGAATTAGACCTGTGTATTCCTTCCTAGGGATCACTGATGAGAGCAAAAAAAAAAAAGAAAGAACTGCACTGTGGAATCACTGGTTGGTTGGATGAGTCTCTATGAATCAGTTTCTGCCTGTTTTTTTGTGCTCTCTCCCACAAATTCCCTTTCAGAGGCTCTGTATATTCTCATTCCCCAGTTCATCATTCTGCAATCAGGGTAGCAAAGATGTTTCATCTGTTGTGTGAACTCTGAGCTGCTGATGGGGCTTGGCTTCCTGGAGACATGCTGTGATCCATTAGTAATGTCTGCTGTGCACACAGAAAGGAGCATCAGAAATACCTGTCAATGACATTCACCATCTCTGCTCAATATTCTGTGCACTGTTGCAAAAAGCCTTTATACCTTTGCCTGTGCTCTTTCTTCTTGGAAAGCCTGTCCCTCCACCCCACATTTTGCATTTTCCTCATTTTTAAAAATGCAACTTGGACACCATCTTCCCATGGATCTGGCTCTAACCTCCTGCAACCCTCCACTTGGCACTAGCATAGATTAGCACCTTCCTCTGTGTGATCTCCTTCTTCTTGGCTGCCTTCTCTGTCAGGTTGGCTTCTTTCCAAGGGGAGGTATGAGGTCGGTTTCATCTGTCCGCACCAGGCTATCCCAGATGTGACCAAACCAGGAGCAGGGGTATGCAGAACTGCAATGCTGCTGCTTCTTGTTATTTCTCCCTCTCACTAATTAGTGGGGTGGGGCTGGGACATGCACAGGGGAGGGGGCTGGAGCCTCTATAATCTGGGTCTGAAGGAGGTATCCTCAGGGCATCCACTGGCAAGCTGGAGAGCCCAGAGCTCGACATGCATTAGTTTTCTGCCTAGCCTAGCACAGTGCCAGACCAACTCATACTTTCTCCCCTGAGACACCACCATTCCTGCACACAGGAGGTACTTGATAAGAGTGTGAAGAGTCCCTGCTGGCCACGAGGGTGGGTGGGAAAGGGCATGGGGTACACACTCCAAGCTCCACAGCCTTCTGTTATGCCCCGTACCCAGCATCAAGGCTTGGAGACCACAGTTTAAATCCGCTGGGCATACAGGGCTCTCTCCCTTCTTTTGGCACTCCTTCACCAACCTGAGTTCCAGGGCAACGCCAAGCAGAGCACCACTCTCTGTAGGGTCAAGGCCATGAATACAGTGGGTCTATTTCTTCCTATTCTTCCTCAGCTTTTTGGTGTGAAGTGTTAGCAACTGGTGATGAAGGGAACAGCATATCCCTCTTGTCCACCCACCTCTATCTGCACCAGGGACTCAGGCCCAGAGGAAGGGTCTTTCCTAGAGTCCCTGGCAAGTAACTGTCAGGACTGAGAGCAGAGCCAGCCTCCCTGTAGCTGGTCCCATTCTGTGTCACTCTCCTAGCCCATGAAGACCCTGCTGCCACCAAGAGGCCATCAGCCACCAGGGCACTGTTTTGGCCCCTGTCTTGGCCCTGTCTCCCCACTTCCTCTCTCCTCTTCCCTCTGTCCCTTTGCTATGCTGTTTCCCCAGGTGCCGACAGAAGCCCAAGGCAGTCAGAAGGCTGCCCTGTCCCACAGGCCCTTCCCGTGTCTTCTAGCCAGCCTCCGCTCTCCTTTCTCCCTTTATCAGACTATAACTGAACCCTGAAGTCATCTTGAACCTGCCCATTATACCAGGGCTATTTGTTTAACTGTTTTAGGATCTCTGTTTTTACATTTCTAAACTTTTCACTTCTGGTTCATTAAAAACAAAATAAAGAAAAGAATCAGATAACTCTACAAACCAAAGAATGCTCACCCAAAGCTAAATAATCTTTTCTAGGCAAACTCATTTGCAGGACATTTTGTTTAGCCCTTGGGGCCTGTTTATCTGCCACTCATGGCTACCAGGCTACAGGAGAGGACACTTCCCATCCCCAGAGAGGCTACATAAAGCTGGACATCCATGCTGCTGTCCGTGCTTCCCTCTTTGGATTATAATCTGGCCCTGGGGCCTGGCACTGGCTCACTTCTGGCTCAGTGGGACCCAAGCGTCCCGTCTGTATGTGCCACCCATTTCGGTCTCCCTGAGAAACCACATTCTCCCGAGGACGCCTCATCTCCACCCCCCAGTGACTCAGTTCTGTGACCCTCTAGTTGCAAGCTCCTGAGGTCCCTGTACAGCTCACATTTGTCACAGTTTTGCTGACAGGAAGGCCCTGTCCCAGCTCATCCTCCCCTGACCCACTATGGCACAGGCTGCTCTGAGACTCAGCTCCCTGTGGGAGGTCAGTAATAAGGTTGCCATTTTACAGTGGGGAGTGGAGGTGACAGGTCTGGTGTCCTTGTTTTTTAGGCAGAAGAGTCTGGATTTTAAATCAGGTCTGTTGAAATCGAGTCCAGGACTACGCCTGCTAGCCCTCACTGTGTAAACCATGATTGATGCTGCCTTATATTTATACAGCGCCTACAGTCGGCAAAACTTGCTTCCCCTGCAGCTTTCTCCCTGTGCTGTGACAGATGGGCCTGTGCCTCAGTGTGTGATCTGTCCACATGTAACATGCTGATAGCATGAACTGTGTGGAGGAGGCCCCCAGCAGAGGGCTTCTGAGGAGGCTGGCCACGGGCCACCTGGAGCAGTTGCGGGGCTTGCTGAGGAGGTGGGCTTTGAGCTGGGCCTGGAGGGCAGAGGGACTTTCACCCTGTAGGGCAGGGTGTGCTCTGGTGGGGGGTTGCAAAATGGGCAGGAGAACTGAGTGGGAGCCCCACTGTCTCATTTGGAAACCACATGGAGAGGTGAAACGTTTCCCGCCTGTGAGGCACCCCAGAAAGGATGGTGGCCTGGAGCTGTGACAAGGGCCAGGACATGGAAAGGGCCTGGGCCACCCTGCTGAGTTCAGAGGCTGCAAGCCTGGCACACTTCAAATGTGCCTTGTGGAACTGAGTTCTAGATCCCATTTAATTTTAATTACAACATAAAAACAGGTTTTGGTTCCATTATTAGAAAATTTTTAATAATGCTTGGAACAGTTTGGGCATGTGAATCTATTTTCAACTATAAATTTTATGACCTTTAAATACAGAACATGTATTTCTGAGGAAAATTTGGAGTCTGAACTAAGATGTACTGGCAGACAAGACATTTATTGGATTTTGAAGATGAAGAAAGACTGTTCAATTATTCACTGAGAATGTTTTATATCAGTTACATGTTGAAATGACATTAGTTTGGATATATAGGGTTAAATTAAAAATAAATAATTCTAATTATTTGATTTTTGTTGTTTTTTCTCCTTTTTGCAGTATGAGATGTTGAATTCAAGGACACTCTGCTACTGAGCTACCCTGCCATCCCTTTTAAATTTTTATTTTGATTTGAAACAGGCTAAGTTGCCCAAGTTGCCTTGAATATTCGATCATCCTGCCTCAGCCACCCAAGCAGCCAGAATTACAGCATGCACCACCACGTCTGGCTGATTTTCCTTTTTTAAATATGTCTGATTAAAATTCCAGGGCAAATGAATATGTAGGAAAGCTCCATACTTTATGCTCAATATTTCCATAAACCTAAACTACAGGTGCTCTAAAAAGCAGTCTATTTATTAGAAGGGTAAATGCTGGGCTGGAAGTACAGCTCAGGAGTAGAGCATTTGCTCCCATACATGAGGCCCTGGGCTCAATCCCTTGTACCATAGAGAAAGAAAAAAAGATAAACATATAAAAGTAAATCATGCATGGGCCGGGGATTTAGCTCGGTGGTTCCAGTGCCTGCCTTGCAAGTGCAAGGTCCCGAGTTCGATCCCCAGTACCAAAAAGAAAAAAAAAAGTAAATCATGCGATTATCATACAGAAATGGTGTAGCACAAAATTATGTTTAGTATACAATACTTGATTATAATAAATGAGTATGCCACTGTTAATGTAAAAAGATCCATGGGGTAATTGCACCTTGGTCACATTATACTGCGTTTCTGTGGGATGGCACTGGACTGAGGTCCTGAGGCCCAGCCATCTGCCTAGGTCACAGAAGCTCCAGAAATGGCGTTGCTGGTGGCTGGGAAGCCTGCTCTGAGCAATTCTCCTTAGAAAGACCCCTGGCTTGCTGGGCTGAGGCCGTGGGGCTGGGGCAGCCTGGCTGTTCCTGTGCTGAGTGAGGAGAGGCCTGACTTCAGGCAGTGGCCGTGGGTCACTCCCTAAACTGGACAAGTCTGAGCACTCCAATTCTGGGACCCTGGCACCCTCCGAGAAGCCTCTGCCCTGCTTGGCTGCAGACCTGCATGGGCCACAGCAGGGGACAGACCCTGGGCAGTGGTCTCAGGAGCAAGTGTCCCCTCAGGGGGCTGTCAGCCCTGCTGGGAGCTGCCCTCTGAGATTAACCCCCAGCCCACAGAGGAACCACAGAAATGCCTCCTGGCATGGAAAATAGCCTGAGTTGGCTGCTAATTCCTATCCCTCCAGGACAAGGGCCAGGCCAGAGGCAGGAGCCTCCGTTAGAGTAAGTAGATCTTTTCTTTGTGCCTTGCCTCCCCACCCTGCCCGAGCAAAACTTGGGCCTCATACATGTGGCTAATTTTTTGCTCTTGTTTATGCTCAATGTTCTCCTCAGAGTTTACAAGGATTTGCTTGATTGGGGATTTGGAGGAAGCATGGTGACAAGGTGCTGCCCAAGACACAGAGCCTACCTTGACTATGTCTTCATTAATGTTCTTGGGGTCTCTGTTCACCAGGTCAATCTCCTTAAAGTGAATGTCCTTGACAATCTGGGCCTCCAGGTCCGTGTGCTCTTCAGCCATCATCACAGAGCTGTCCACCCTGTTGGAGGAGGTCCGAGCCTTGCAGCCGGTGGGGCTGAGAATCCTTGGGGCAGAAGACCAATGCAGGGTCCCCAGATTTGTGCCCTATGGCTAAATAGGCCCCACCCAGCATGCTGGCTGACAGCTGTCCCACATAACTCCAGCCAGCCTCTAGTTAAAGCCACTGTGGCATGCCTCCAAGCTAAAATTAAGACTGGAGCACTTCTGGAAGGCAGAGCACTCCTTAAAGGGGGCTGCTGCTGGGATTTGGGCCCCATGTGTGGGCGCCGGCCTGGCACTCCCTGCCCACTGCCAGGGACAAGCTTGCCCCTCACTGCCCAGACGGCTGTCTCTCCTGTGCGGCCCCTGGAATTTGCCACCACTGCCAGTGCCTGGGCGCTTCTGGGAGCAGCTGCCCCACAGGAGGTGGGCTTGCTCCAGCTCTGCCTTGTGATCGCTGTGTGACCTTGGGTATGCACACCCTCTCTGGGCCATTATGGGGACATGACGTAGCCCAGGAGCTCTTCCTATCCTGAAGGAGCAGAGGAGACCAGATCTTGTATTCCTGGGAATTGGTCTTGGGAACTGGAAATGTGGTCTTATAGGGTTTTTGGTGGACAACTGGGGCCTGCATGTGCTGTCTGGAACCCTGGAGCAGGTCTGGGGTTTCCCCGTTTCTGGGGGTTTCCCTGGGGTGAGGGTTGATGGATTGTGGGGTGAGCTTGAGTGTTAGACCCAGAAAAGAGACCACTGATGGTGCTGCCCCCTGCGTGCATGGCTGTGGGGCACCTCCCCTAGGGCCTGCTTTGGTTTTTTGCTCCTTTTTCTAATTCTACATAGTCTTAAAGCTCAAGCAGATGAGGGATGAAGATTCCAAATCCCAAGGCAAAGGTGCAAGCATCCATTCAGCTACCCACCTACATATTCAGGCAGGATTTGCTGAGAGCTAGGAATAAAGGAACAAATAAGGCTCTGTCCCCTTGAGAAGCTCCCAGACATACAGAGTGCTACCAATCAGAAAAATTTTATGAAGAACTTGCCCTGAGGGAGTCAGGAAAGGCTTCCCATGGGAGATGGCTTTGGTTAGATGTTGAAGTCCAAGGACCCCCCTCCCTGGCACACTTGGCTATAGGACTGTAGCTATCAGAAGCCATGTGATGGCAGTGAGTACGCAACACCATTGAGTAAATTGTAAACTACTGAATGTTAATAACTAAGAAGCACTTCTCTGAGAAGTGTTTCTATATGTCAAGTCTAGGAAATAATCAAGTAAAGTACTGTTAATAATCGAATATTATTTTATGTTACACCTATGAAACTATTTTGACTACTCTTTTCTTCTGTTATAGGAAAGCAGTAGCTCTGTCCTTGAAAAACATATTGAAAAGCTGAAAAAAGCACAAAGGAGAACACATCTTATTTCTTATTGGTATAGGTTTGCTATACATAATAATTACATTCATCTTAGTAAATATACATATCAAGTCTTAATTATTTTTACTTCCTTTTCCCTCCTGATCTTCCCCTCTCTCCACATCTCCAAATCTCATCTCTGCAATTGTAACTAAAGAATAATTATTAGGATATTAAAATTAGGAATAATTCTTGGATGATTAAAAGTTTACTATGAGCGCACTGGCAAGTGTCTCCTAAAGTGCTGGTGTATAATGGTGTAGTGTAGCATAAATGTCAAGGTTTTTAATGGATGCGGTAGGACAGATGGACCGTCACCAATGTTAGTCCTGGAAAAGCTAAGTCACCACACCTCGAGTTTGAATTCTACACTGAGAACTTTATTCATAATAAAGAGAAAGTTTTGGACAAAGTTTATATTTTGCTTTAGGAGCCACGAAAGACAAGGGACAATGCTTTGTACATTGTGAAATATTTGTTAGAACTGGTTTGCTATTATTAAACCATACAATCCTTTAATGATCTCCAGTGTATTTAGAGATTGATTATGCCCCAAAGCACAATTAAATGTTGCTTGTTTTTTTCTATTTCTTGATTTAAAATAAAAAACCTTTATGTTGAAGAAGAAGAAGAGGAGGAAAAAGAAGAAGAGGATGAGTAAGGGAAGGAGGAGGAAAAGGAAGAGGAATGTGGGTCTTGGAGTGGTATGGACGAGGCAGATGATATGGCCAGTCTCTGGCCTGGGTGTGAAGTGTCCCAAACGTCATGCTACAGAGTATGGATTTTATCTGGAAGTGTTGGGAGGCCACCGAAGGCTTCAAGGAGCAGAGGGTCCTTACCAGACTTACGTGTGAGGAAGCTCGCTGGCGTTGAGGAGGAGAGTGGATTGCAGCTGACTGAAGTTTGAGTCAGGAAGGCTAATCAGAAGGGTGGAGACCATAGGGGCCTATCAACACTTGTGGTTGACTACTACCAATAAGATTCCAAAGTAATAGAGGCTTGAACAAGATACGGACCCTCTCAAGGCACGTAGTTCATTCCAGACTACCGTGGCCGCTCCAGGATGCCATCAGACACTCATACCCCTTTCTTTCTATTCTGTTCTCCTCAAAGCCACCTCACAGGCATAACATGGCCGCTGCTCCCCTAGCCCTCAAGTCTGAGTCTAGATAAGAAGTAATGGCCAGGGGAAGGAAAGGCATCTGCTAGCTGAATGAGCCTATTACAAAGCTTTCCAAGAAGTCCACTCAACAATTTTCATTTCTCTCTCATTGGCCTCTTCTCTTGGTGAAGGAGGATGAAATTATAGATTTTCATCTGAACACATTGTCAGCTCTCATAGTGTTTTTAAGGATAAATGGTAGGCAAGCAGAAGAATTGTCACTAGGTCTCTTAGACATTACTTGAAGTGGTTTTTTTTTTTTCCATTTCCTGGCCTGGGTTGCCAGGTCCTAGGAATGTACTGTACCTCATCCCATAAAGAGATTGATACAAAGAGTGCAGTTGCTTGGGTTCACGTGGACTATGGCAGAACCCTGAGGCTGAGCTTGAGCTGTGTTCGTGGCAGGACCGGATATGTCTGGAGAAAGAATGGGCCGGCCGATGGCAGTACTGTCACAGGGATGGAGGAGCCACCTGCTGGGAACTCACCCTAAAGAACAGGTAGTGTTGTTGTGGCTTGGACAAGTGTTACCCAAAGTCTGTGTGGTACAGGCTTGGTCCCATCACAGGATGCTATTGGGAGTGTGCGCTAGAGGGAAGATCGGGACCATGCCCCCTCCAGCTTCCTCCTCAATTGCTCTCCTCATGAGGTGCTGCTTCACCACTAGGGCCAATTAGTCAGGGGCCAGGACCTCTAAAGCTCTGAGCTGAAACAAACCTTCCCTCTTTTTAAACTGATGATTTCAGGTATTTCACTACAGCAGTGGAAAGCTGGCTAACACAAATGGCAACAAGATAATACTAATGAGGATGGAGACTGTTTGCCAAAGATGGCCACATCTGTGCTCTCCAATGGGGAAGATGCTCCTTCTACCACGTGGTGGATCTGTGTTCTTTCCTCTTAAGTATGGACTGAGGTTTGGACCTTTACTACACTACAGCAAGACCGGTGCTGTGCAGCTTCTGAGCCAGGCCATACATGCAGCTTCCTGGTGCTCTCTCCCAGGATTCTCACCCTTGGACCTCAGCTAGGGAGCCCAGAGTAACCCGTGGGAAGAGACCCCATGGAGAAGAGCCTCTGTCCCAGCTGCCACCCAAGGTCACCATCAGGTGAGAGAGCCTGAGGCTTTGGATGAGCCCAGCCCCGCATCCTCAAGCCACCCTCAACCTTCTAGCTTTCCATTTGAAGCTGCAGTCATCATGGAAAAGAGATCTGTTCTTGGCACTCTGGCGGGATGTCTAAACTATAGAGCCCAAAGCCTATGAATTCTTTCTTTCTTTCTTAATTATTTTTTAAAATTTTTATGTAATTCAAGTAGATATTAATAAAGAAATCTAAAAACATTTCTCTGAAAAAAATAATTTTTCATGACAAAAATAATTAGAGAATAACAATGGTAAATACACTGTATATCATGATCTAAAAAGAATATATTTTCATTTGCAAATCTATCTCTCATTTCCTAATAATACTATACCTTTTTTGCATAAAACATTTTAATTATTAACAAACTACCTCACACTCGGTAAAATTTTGAATAATTTTTTCCTATTTCACAATATTTATTCAACTTTTTGGTCCTTATTTACACATTCAGTTTCTCACACCAGAGAGACAATGTGATATTTATACATGTTTGATTTATTTCACTTAAGAGTATGGTTTCAAGGTACATAAATTTACCTAGAAATGTCTCAAGTTTATCCTTCTTTATTGCTGAATATTCTATAATATTAAAAAACCACATCTTTTTTATCTATTCATTTGCTGATGGTCATTTGAGCTGTTTCCAAGATTTAGCTATTACGAACTGTCCCACTTTAAACATGTGGGTGCATATATATCGCTGTGGTATGATGGTTTTACTTCTTTTGGAAAGATACCCAGAAGAATAGCTGGGTCAAATGGGTCCTCTAATCCCAGTTTTTTGAAGAATTGCCATACTGATCTCCACAGTGGTTGCACCAGTCTACACTCTCACCAATAGTGGAGAAGGGTTCCTTTGTCCCCACAGTTCCTCCAGAATTTTTTATTGGTTGATTTCTTGATAATACCCATTCTTTCTGAAGTGAAATAGAATCTCAGAGTTGTTTTAATTTGCATCTCTCAAGTGCCCAGTGACACTGAACATTTTTTCATGTATTTGTTTGCTGTTTTTACTTCTTCATCTGAGAAGTGTGTATTCATCTCAGATGCCCATTTTTGAATTGGGTCTTTAAATTTGAGAGGTCTGATATTTTTCAATGCTTTATTTGTTCTAGATTTCAATCCTTTGTCTGAGGATCCACTGGCTAAAATTTTTCCCCACTGTGTGGGTTGTCTTTTCACTCTGTTGGTGATTTCTTTTGCTGTGCAAAAGCTTTTTAATAAGATGAGATTCCAGTTGTTGATTCTTTGTAGTATTTCCCATGTGGTCAGGGTTTTGTTCATGAAGTCTTTTCCTGTTCCTATGTTCTCAAGCGTTCTACCTATTCTCTTTTCCAGCAGATTTAGTATTTCTGTTTTAATATGTAGATCTTTGATCCATTTTTATTTTATTTTAGTGCATGGTGAGGGACATGGGTCTAATTTTAGTCTTTGGCATATG